ACACGTTGGTTTTCATCCCCTGGTTAAAACTCTGGTTGAAAGCTCCATATCATTTTTTCACCCAATACCTTAAAATCAATGTCAGCTTATCTGCTCTTCATTCTGTTTCCCCAAGGATATGTTATGTTTGTATGCATGTATTGAGGCTATCAAATGCTAAGACGGTTAGATGATGACATCTGTCTGATTACAGCACAGAGACCGATGACCGGAGGATCAGAGGGTGCTGAAACTAGTCTATCTTGCATTCAATGTGGAAAACCTGCCCGCCTTCAGTATGTATTTGAGTTCACATATACCCTGTTTGTCTCTCATAAAGTGCTATCTTGCTATCTCATTTCTTTAATGGTATTGGATTTTTTTATGATTTGTACAGTGTGTGTATAGTGTAAGTATGAAATGCTTCTCTTTTGTTAGTTTGTTGATTTGTATTTGAAATGCATTTATTGTATGTACACAGCCCTTTCCTTGTTGACACATATTTAGAGTTTCAATGGTTCCACCATTCAATAAGTTCAATGGTAGGTTAGTAATTGAGTTCATTGCCAATGAGCTAAAGTAGTCATTATTCGCAATGTTTTAGCTTCAGGTGAATAATTGACTAAACCAAAAATTCTGTTAGCTAATTCGTGTATAGTACGCATATTATACACCCACAATGTTCTATCTATTTTTTAAAAAACCAAATTTGATTTCATTTGTGTGATCTGAATTTTAAAAAAACTAATCTCGTAAATGTATTTTTTATTCTAAAAATAAAAAATATAAAGTTGATTTCATTTTTTACTAAATTTTAAATTACAAAAAAAATGTTTAGTGAATTTATATTTATATTACGAAGTCATTTGAATCTTCATTAAAAATTCATGATGAGTATTTAATCAACTTTGTAAAACTGAAATTGTCTAATAATATAATTTTTTTCATTTCTCAAATGCTCCATTCGTGTCGAAATATTAGCTTTATTTTTGAGAATGTGTTCTTACTTTGATTACATTTTTTGGAAGTATACAATAATAGCTTGATTGAAAGATCTCCTTTGGATACACATGAAAAAAATGAATAAACAATAAGTTGTAGTGTTGGTTGAGTTTTTAGATTTTTTGGTGTATCTGTATTCAATTCCAAAGTTTAAACTCTCTCTTATTAAAAATATCTGCACTCATTATAAGTCGTATTTTTGAAAAATCAAATGTATAAAAACAAACGTATCCGTATACGTACTCCGAACGTATAAAACGTATAATAAGATGTATTTTAAAAACATGATTTGTATTATACACGAACGTACGAATAAATGTATTATACCCGTATCCGAATAAGCTAACAAGCACATTAAACTACGCTTCTTACTTTTTATGAACTTTTGGGTAGTGAAAGCAGCAATGCATAAGGGTCTAATGGTAACATCCTCTCTATATACATATCCCCCCCCTCCCCGGGGGGGGGGGGGGG